GTGGGGAGTCTGCTTCTCCCTCGGCCCCTCCCCGTTCGTGTTCTCTCTCTCAAATAAATAAATAAAATCTTAAAAAAATAAAAAAATAAAGCCCCTGGAATGGGTGAGATGACCAAAAGTGAGTTGGTGGAAATGAAGACTAAGAAGAGTCCCCCAAATGCTCCTCTGTGTAGAGGTCAGTGTTGAGAGGAGGAACCAGCCAGAGAGATTGAGAGGAGAGACCAGGGAGGAAGGAGGAAAAAAGAAGAGAGCCTGGCATGCTAGAAATCCAAGTGGAGACAGTGTTCTCCAGGATAAGGGAGTGACTGACAGGTGCAGAGCTGCAGTGCCATTGAGCACAATGCATGCCAACCATTACATTCAGCAACACGGTGGTTTTCAATGACCTTTGCAATCTGAGTTTTGGTGGGGAAGTGAGGATGAAAACTAATTGAAATGGGTATAAGGAAGGAATAGAATTGGAAACAAAATATTTAGATAACTCTTTGTAGGTGTTTTGCTGCAGAGGAGAGCAAAGAAGTGAAGCAGTTGCTGGTGAGGAAAGTGGGATAAGCATGTTCTAAAAGTAGGAAAATAGCAGATATGGTGATGGGAATGATAAGTACAGGATGAAACACTGACAGTTGGAAGGTGGGTGGACCACTGGTGCAATGCCTTCAGAGAGAGAGAGCTACAGAGAGTGAATGTTCTCTGGCTTGGAGCGGGGAAAGGGCACGGGCAGGTAGCCGGCCCAGCAGCAGGGCGGAGGTGCACAATGCTGGTGGTCAGGCACTCGGGGTGGCCACAGTGTGTGGACGTTCAGGTTTCTCCTCTTTCTCAGTGAGTTAGAAAGCAAGGTCCTAAGTTGAGAGTGGGAATCAGGGGAAGGAGGTGCTGGAGGTTTGGAGAAAGAGGAAATGAGGGGAAACTGTGTCGAGGACAATGGAGGGGGTCTGAACAAGGATGCACAGTCTCATGTAGAGCCATTTGCAGCTCGTTTAGCCCAATGTGTGGTCTTGCCTGGGGAGCAGGACAAATCAAGATACGTTCAGGGAAGTCAAAAGTATAAGCAAGGCAGTATTTAGAAATCTCCAGATGTCCACTGACTTGCAACCTCTCTGTGTTAGTTTGCTAAGGTTCTTAGAGCAAGATACCACAGACTGACTTGAACAACAGACATGTATTTTCTCAAAGTTCTGGAGGCGAGAAGTCCAAGATCAAGGTTTGGTTTGGTTTCTTCTGAGGTTTGTCTCATTAGCTTGCAGAAGGTCACCTTCTGGCTATCTTCACATATTTCTGTAAAAACACCAATCAGATTAGATTAAGGGCCACCCTAACAGCCTCATTTTAACTTAATCACCTTGAAGGCCCTATCTCCAAATATAGTTATATTCTGAGATATTGGGGTGTGAGGGCTTCATTATATGAATTTTGAGGGCACACAATTTAGCCTATAACACTGTCCATCTGTGCAATGCATGTTTGCTTTACCTTTCTGCCCCAGAATACAAAAGTTATACAGATTCTCCCTTTGGGGCCCTTCAGGTGGAAGGAGCTGTTTTTCTAAGAGGTAGGGTTGGTGTCCTCCTTACTCTCCAATGCTTGCCAACTTTTTCAATCCACAGTAAAAATATATACTTTATATCTGACCCAGTACACACATACATAAATATGTAACTGAAAAGTTTGCACAAAGCAGTGCAATGTGCTTCGATGTCCAAGACATTTTCTGTTCTTTTCCATTTTATTTTTCAAAATCTCTACAGGAATATCTGTTAGGCATCTCAAATAAATAATAATTACATAATTATATGTAAATAAGAGTATAGCAAGGAAAGAACTATTGATTTAACAAAAAATTGGATTCTATCTGTTGAGAGGACAGAAGAAGGGGGGAAAGGGGCATGAAAGAGATATGAAATCCTTATTCAACATAACAGGAAAGAAATTTCTAAAAGAGCTGAATAAAGATATAGAATATATGCAAATTACTTTAAAATAGGGAAACAAAGCATAGAAGAAACAGTTAAGAGTGTCCAGAGTAGTTGCCGCTAGGGAGAGCAGGATGTCACAGGATGTGGGGGCTCAGGAGGTGTGACCGAGAGCTTTTTGGGTTTTGGTAGCTTCTGAGCAGTATTTGACTTTTTGACCTTTATATATATTGCTTGATAAAAATAAAAAAAAATAACTTAAAAGAATACACATAATATATGTAGCCACTGTATTTCGCTGACTCCTAGGGACAGGTCAGTTGAATTTCCTGCTGCATACCCAAACCTCCACACCAAAGGTTTGTAGCTGTTTTTTCTTCAAAATCCCAAACTGTGCATTTGCAAGGGCTTGCATTGTAGACCAGAGGTCCCCGATTCTTTTTCAATGCATAAAGACACCTCTTTCTTTAAAAAGAGACAGGCAGTTCTCCAAAAGAAGACTGTCCACTTCGTGAAGTGTTAAATAAAGTTTGTAAAAAAAAAAAATTAAAAGAGAGACGGGATAACCAGCGACCGAGAGCATAGACCTTGGAGCCAGACTCTGTGTTGGATCCCATCTTTGCCACTTATTAGCTGTATGATTTTGGGCAAGTCTCTGAATTTCTCTGCCTCCTCAGCTTCAATATCTGTAATGTAGGGATGATAACAGTATTTACCTCCAGAAAGTGTTGTGAAAATTAATTGAGTTCATTTTTTTAAGTGCTTAGACCAGTGCCTGCCATGTTAAATACATAACATTTCACAAGAAGGTAGTATTTACCCTTTTGAATCTATAGATTGAGAAACTACATTCAGAATTACCATGAATTAGTTATCTAAATACTATTCAAAATATATAATATTCATATTAATTGTAATATATATAAAATAATTCACATTTTCTTTATCACACCAGAATCTGCAGTTTGCAAGAGAGTGTACCTGTAGGAAATGCTATTACTTTTCAGTCTGTGGACACTGTTCAATGTGGATATGATTTTGTAGTAAATCTGAGGAGGTGTGGACTTCACAACACACATATACTGTCCATCTACTGACCCTCCATGCCTGTAAAGTAGGACCTATAATTGGTCATTTTTAACTGATGAGAGTCTTCCCAGAATTTTTATGTGGAAGCTACACTAACAGGATCTCTCCCCTCCCCCCAATGTAATCATGGCCCAAGATGAACTTGTGAGAACTGAGTAAACAAAATCAACACAGACTGCAGGAGTTTAGCCCCTCTGAAGCTTAACATAAGAAATTATTGACCAGAGCTACTGGGTGGCATGTTTAGAATACAAGTGTCATTAGGAAGCTTAAATCTAATATAGTCCGTTGTCTGACAATTGACTCTATTCAGAGAAGGGGTTAGCAAAGAGCGGAAGTGGGGGATGGTTGAAAAAGAAAAGGTGTCCTCACTTCTCTTGCACTGTCTGGGGTAGAAGTATCCTGACCTATAAACACAAATATTCCAATCCTTTGATACAAACATCCCTATGCTATGGCGATACAAATTCTGATGGTTGCATTAGTTAATATTTTATCTATCTTCATTTGTTCGAATCCAAGTTTACCAAGCAACATTCTGGTGATAATTTTTCTTCCTATACAAGTTTGTAAGTAAAATTCTGGTTGGCACTATTACTTTTCCTTGTAACTGAATGAATCAGCTTTCTGGATTATATGGCAGTTGGTATGAATGGCCTTTTTTTTATAGCATGAGTCCTCGAGAAAATCCTCAAGTCTGGGTACCCAGCAGGAAGCTGGCTCAGCACCTCCAAAAGAACGGCCAGAAGAAGGACGATGGATTGATGGAGGAAGGTTCTCCTGCCTCACTCCTAGCTGTTCTGTAGGTGATGTCTCTCCATCTCATCTTTTAAAATTACAACCTGGCCTGATACAGAACCCACATTCCCCATACTGTTGCAACTTTGGGTTTTCCTGGCAGGGAAAGTCCCCGACTATATTGTTCTCTCCAGGAAAAGTGGGTTAAGGTGGAGTTTTGGCTTTACTTTAGGATCTGTGTTATATCGATTATTTAAACTGTTTTCATAAACTACCACTTATGTGCTATATTGATTTATTCACTTCAACAGTCATCTTGATCAATGAGCAAAACACTTTGTTGGGAGATATATGATTATAAAGATGGATTATGAAAATGTGGAAGTAACCCAAGTGTCTGTGAACGGATAAATGGATAAGCAAAATGTGGTATCTATATGTAATGGAATATTATTCAGCCTTGAAAAAGAAGAAAATTCTGACACATGTTAAAACAGGGATGAAAGTGGAAGACATTATGCTAAGTGAAATAAGACAATCCCCAAAAGACAAATACTGTATCATTTCATTTATTTGGGGTCCCTAGAGTAGTCAAACTCATAGAGAGAGAAAGTAGAACGGTGGCTGTCAGGGGCTGGGGCAGGAAGAAATGAGGAGTTGTTATTTAATGGGCACAGAGTTACAGTTTTGCAAGAGGGAAAGAGGGAAAGACGGTGAGATTATGGGTGGTGGTGATAGCATAATCACATGAATGTGCTTAATGCCACTGAATTGTACACTTAAATATGATTAGCAAGGTCAATTTTATGGCATGTATATTTTACTACAATAAAGAAAAAAAGATTATGGTCCCTGTCCCAAGGTGCTTACAACCGCTAAGAGAGGCCAATCAGGAAGGTGGGTTTAGCATTATAGGAATGCAGACTAAAGCTAGGTTAATGCTGACACCAGCCCATTTCACAAAGAAACGGATACAAGACGTAGGTCATTACGCAATTTCCTCAAATGCTTAAAATCCGTTGAGCCTCCCATTCCTACTTGAAAACCATAAGGCGCAGGGCAACTCGAACGCGTTGTGCCTGCCTGTTCTCTGGCTCTCCTCCCTGGGTTGGACCTGAGAACCCCTCGCTGGCCCATCAGATGGCGCCGCCGCCCGCAGTGCATCTCCAAGCGCATAGGGGGCGCTGTGGCCTTGGCCTCTTTCCCTCCCCCGCCTCGGTGACCCTTGCTTCCGCCTCCGGAGCCCGCCTCCCCTCACCGGTGCTCAGCTGCGCAGTCTCCGGCTGCGGGCCTGGGGGAAAGATGGCGGCGTCTTCGAGTGGAGAGAAGGAGAAGGAGCGGCCCGGAGGCGGCTCTGGAGCGGCCGGCGGTAACAGCACGCGAGAGCGGCTGCTGTCTGCGCTGGAAGATCTGGAGGTTTTGTCGAGGTAATGCCGTCGGTCTGAGGACCTGACTGGGTTGGGCCGGGAGGACTGACTTTGGATCGGCCGCGCCTGCCTGGGTGCTCGTTCCTGGCGCTCCGGGGGGGAGGCCGCGCTCCCAAAGACGGTGCACGAGTGTGGTGGACTTGACGTCCAAAACCCTCCGGGACTCCGAGACGGCGTCCCCCCCCCCCTTAGAGCGCGTTTTAGTAATGACAGTGACTCTGGAACCCCGACACTGTCAGAATCGTAGCGGACCTTAGAGGTTGCCGGGTGTGAGTACCTTCGTCGACGGACTCTCGACAGACGTTTAAGGACCCCCCCCCCCGGGACCCAAACGCTGGGAAACAGTAATGAGGGGGACACTAGATGCGGACATAGAGCAGCCCAGCGTCAAGGGGAAGAGACAGACGTAAACAGACACTATGGTGCGGAGCCTGTTTTTAATCAGAGGCGTGCGCCCCGGGTTACTGGAACTCGAGGACTATAGATACCTGTCTCAGTTTAGTCAGGGCAGGCTTCCTGGAGAAAGGACTGCATGGGAAGAATGAGTTCACCGCACTTTGTAGGCGGTAGGTGGCTGGAATAGCAGGTGCAAACGCCTGGAGGCGTGAGCACGCGCGATTTGGTGCGATTCCAAGTTCGGGATGGCTGGAGCGCAGCGAGTATGGAAGAGGTTGAAGAAATGGGATGTCATTCCTCTTATTCTGCCATCGTTCATGGTAGTTTGTCAAGTTGAAGCCTTTAACTCTCTCACATTCACTTGGATGTTGAAATTGTTTTGATTTTTCCTTCTAAAATGTTGCTCAGATTTGACCTCTTGTTCCCATCCCCACTGTCTTTTGATGCATCTCCCGACAGTTTTACTTGTCTCTATGCTTCTCTACTTTCTATATTGCCCAAGAGCAGGGCTTTCTTTTTTAAAAGGCTTCTCATCACTTTTCTGCTTTAAAATATTTGGTAGGGGGCGCCTGGGTGGCTCAGTTGGTTAAGCGACTGCCTTCGGCTCAGGTCATGATCCTGGAGTCCCGGGATCGAGTCCCACATCGGACTCCCTGCTCAGCGGGGAGTCTGCTTCTCCCTCTGACCCTCCCCCCTCTCATGCGCTCTCTCTCTCTCTCTCTCATTCTCTCTCTCAAATAAATAAATACAATCTTTAAAAAAAAATAAAATAAAATATTTGGTAGGTTCCCGCTGCCCAGTGAGATAAAGTCCAAATGTCTAGCTTAGTGTGCCACTTTTCTGTAAATATGTTTACTTCTGAAGAAGTGACACCCCCTTTGGGAAGTAGTGTCTGCTGCCTTTTGTTCTGAGTGAATCTTGGTCTTTGAAATGTCAAATCTTTGCCTTAGTATATTCAGTGAACTATTACTTCTCACCCTTTTACTCGGGAGCCCAGTAAATTCGTTTCTTTTCTGAGTTTACTTGCTGTAACATAATTTGTCTGTTTTGTGACCCTGGTATGTATTTCATACTCTCCAAGTTTGGAAACTGTTTTTTTGAACCTGCGCATATAGGGTAATGGTCTTTGAAAATTTCTTCTGACATTGGACAACTTGGTAGTCAACCTTAAGATCTTGCCTCAGGATTATTTGGCTATAGCTCTGTGTATCTGAGGTGTGTTTTCCTGCTGCTGTTGGTACCTGCAGGAGTGCATATATATGATAGTCATGTACTCTTCGCTTGAGATAGCATAATTAAATAATTTATCAGTTGTGTTAATTTGAGACCAAATTGAAATTGTCTTGTAAATTGACCAGTTTATCTTTCTCCCTCTTTGATTGTTTCCTTAATTCCTGAGTGTAGCATTTTCTGTTTGATGAAACGTATCAAGAATCTGTTTCTGAAACTTCCCCACTTAAGCTTTCTAGTTGTGCATGATTAGTTGATGTGCTGAGTTCTCTTTTGCTTTCTCTAAAAGAAGCTGTAGTTCTATTGCCCTTTCCCCAGGAATGCGAAAAACACTTTGATTTCTCATTGATTTGCAGTCCTCACTGAATCTGTTAACATATTGAAGATAAGCTTCTTTCTTGGGGTCCTTGCAGCCTGGGAATAACCATTACTTTAAAAGTTTGCTTTTCTTTTCCTCTGATTTTCTCATGACTTAATCTGTCATGTTATTTTATTTGTTCATCTCTAAAGAAAGACTGGGTGACAGTGAGTGAAAATTTACCTATTTTGTGACCCTAGAGATGGTTGGTGGTGGTAGTGGAAGAGATGTCACTTTGTGCTTGGCCACCTAAGACTTACTGAGACTTCACAGAATGAGGCTATGCCAGTGCGATTTGCTTTCAAAAAAAATCCCATTATGCTAGCAATCAGATATAGCTGCATATACTGCTTCTGTGATCTCTGAAATTCGTCATTATCCTCTTAATGAAATTTTTCTCGTTTGCATTTTTTATGAAAAATTGGAAAAAAAAACTAATGTAATCTCTTGGCTTTAGAAAATAGTGGGTTTGAAATTTAGGATATATTTTTTACTGTTACCTGGTTATATAGCTTTTCAGTATATTTATTACTTTGTAAAATGTGATAGAATGAGGTAGTCTTTGGAGGAATTTATTTTATTATATTTTTTTATTTGAGAGTGCAAGAGCATGAGCAGGGGAGGGGCAGAGAGAGAGGGAGAATCAGTATATTTGTTACTTTGTAAAATGTGAGGGAATGAGGTAGTCTTTGGAGGAATTTTAAACATAGAAACACAAATTATAGTCTACAAGTTTTTCTTAACATGTTTGTGACTCAGAACTCAATTGTCCTTCAGAAACCATGTTGATAGGAGTCTTGAGGTTTCCACACCAGCCTATTAATCTGTTTATCTATAATTTACCTGAAGTGTAGTACCACTAATAATATGGGATTTAACCCCCATGTAAATTATATTTCTATGGGGAATTGTGGATGGATTCTAATTTGATATGCCAGGAATACAGCTTCTGTAGTGGGACAGGGCACTAACTCCCATACCTGTAACCAGTGAGTGGGCTCAGGGGTTCCTTCAGCTTCTTTTTATCATTGGGGAGGACAGAAGTTTCCACTTTGTTCTAGAGTGCTACTGAACAGCACTAAGTCTTATAGCTTTTTCCTTCCCACTGTACTCTTGTGTCTAAGACAAGCTCTTTTAAGGTTTTCTGTGGATTTCTAGTCCCAGATTTGCAAGAAAGGCAGAAAAAGCCTCATTCCACATCTCCCACCGTACCTCCCATCCCCACCATCCCCACCCCTGAAACTAGCCTTTATGTAGACCAGAGGTTCTCAATTGTTTATATCTCATCTATGGGGTAAAGAAAAAGGCTAATATAACATGCTGTTTTCATAAAATGTCTGCTTAATCCATCAGCAAGTCCTGTGAGCTCTACCTCCAAAATATATTCTGAGTCTGTACATGTTTCACCCGTTTCCATTACTAAATCCCAGTCGCTAGGATCTAGTCAAAGCCAATATCATCTTTTGCCTGGAACACTACAGAAGCCACTTAACTTGATTTCCATTCTAGCCCTCTTAAAATCCGTTCTCCGGATAGCCTAGCAGTTTGCTTAAAAACATAAATCAGGGACGCCTGGGTGGCTCAGTCGGTTAAGCGTCTGCCTTTGGCTCAGGTCATGATCCCAGGGTCCTGGGATCGAGTCCCACATCGGGCTCCCTGCTCAGCAGGAGGCCTGCTTCTCCCCCTGCCTGCTGCTCCCCCTGCTTGTGCTCTTTCTCTCTCTCTCTCTCTGGCAAATAAATAAATAAAATCTTAAAAAAAAACCAAACATAAATCAGTTCATGTCATCTCCCTGTTTAAAAAGATCTGGTCACTTCTCATTGTACCTGGAATGAAATAGTGGTCCTTTCCCGTGACCTGCAGGCCCTAACATGATCTGGCCCCTTCCCTAACTACCCATGTCCTCAGTTTGTATCCTGCTCCCCAGTACCTACTACTGTATTCTGGCCACACTTCCTCAAACCCATCTTTGGGCCCCTGAACTAGCTATGTAGTTACAAGCATTCTTCATGGCTGGCTTTTCCTTCCCTGACTCCACCCAGTGTAAGTGGGTGTTTTATGGAAACAACTCTTTTCTGTTGACGGTCATATTTCATTGGTATTTATGTACTGGATATTAGTTTATGTAATTATAGTAGTAAGTAAAACTTGCATAAATGGGTCTGATAACAAACACAACTGAATCTTGCTGGTGGGAGCCCAAGTGCACAGTCACTGTGGGACAGGAGCTGTGAATACTCAGCATGCTGTGGGTACCATGAATCCAGCAAGTCAGTTAGGTAGAGATCAGTTGATAGTTTCTATTGCATTTATTTTGCAATGATGTTTTGGTTTTTGGTTTTTCTTTTTTAGAGAACTTATAGAAATGTTGGCAATTTCAAGAAACCAAAAGTTGTTGCCACCTGATGAGGAAAACCAGGTAAGTGGCTTCTTTTTAAATTACAAACAAATCCCCATAATTTCTGCAGTTTCCCTATTTACATTTACTTTGTGTGAGAACAGGAAGATTGGATTCTGTTAAATTAATGACAACTTTTAAATTGGTATTTTCTTTGAATAACTTACATTAGGTAACACTGCTTAAAAAAAAATAGCTGCCTAAGGGTTTGGCAGTATTATTTTCTCTTATAGTTCTAGTTTATTCATTTTTGCCTTTTGAATTAACCAACAAAGCCTGTTAAATGGAGATTAAAACAATACTTGAAAGAAAAAAATTAATACTCTCATAAGGTAACCTTTTATTATAGGCTTGGTTCCCCTAATGCAACTTGAAAATGAATAGAAATAAAAGAGCATGCAACTGTTGATAGAAGTTATTTTGTGGATGTTAAGTTTACAAGTTTTTATTTTCTTTATTCCTTTCTGTGCTTTGTAATTTTCTAAGGTGTGCAAATTTTTTTTCTGATTTAAAAACTTATTAAGAGGGTAAATGTCATTTTATGTGTTTTTTTTTACCATAATTTTTTAAAAAATTAAAACAGCTGGGAAGGATTAACCTTTTTAATGATATGAGACAGCTCTGTGCCCCATCATTATCTTCATTTTATCTTATGATATGTTTTGAGGGCCAAGAAATTTGATTGACTGTCGATAGAGAAGTATCATAAAACTTTTTTCTTCAAAGATTAATCCCCTCAGGTGGAGAGGAGAGATTAGATAAGGCTACAAGTAGTAAAAGTTGGTAATTTTAGGGATATTAAAGTTGTTTTTTGTATGTTATTTTGTTTTTAGAAAAAGCTTATAGAGAAATATGTTAATAGAGGAATGCCAGTCTCAGATACTTTATTGATAAATACCTGTGAAATTAAATAAGAATTTATTACAAAATGAGCAAAATGAAATACAAGTTTTGACTTTACTTCCTAGGCACTTATTATAAGCTTGCCAGGGGTACAGATTATTCAGTAGGTCATAACTAAGACCTACCCAATCAGCACTAACCTTTCTTATACTTTGTAAGGACTAGCAGTTCTGTCCTTAAAAAATAACAGTGCCTTATCACATAAGGTTGTTATAAGGATTTATGATACTGCACGTTCAGTACACGTAGGAAGAGCTTATTAATAGATCTTACCATCACCACCGCAGGACAGAATTAAACCTTATACTTAGTACTGTGAATTCCTGTGTAATTTTCACTGAAACTATTAAATATTAGTGGGACGTGCCCATTTGAAAATTTATTTACTGTTTTTGGAAATTGCTCTTTTTTAAACCGTCTTCATCATAAAGCAATACTGTGCATGACATCATAGGTTTCAAATGAGTTATATAATTCCTTGAACATAATAGCACAAATGTGTAACTGTAAAAGTTTTTTAAGCATCATACATTTACCATAAAAGTATTTCTGCGATCAGTTCAACTCTGAGACAGCCATTATGAAGCATTTACTATAAATATTGTCAAGTGTCCTTACATTATAGTTTAATACTTTGCTCATTTATTTGCTATCATAGTTGATTATGTACAATTTTGTAACTTTAAAAAAATGTGCATTTGTCATAATGTCTTTGCGTCCTGTTTAGTGCTTTGGGGTTTTTTGTTTTAATTTTCCAGTTTAATTGAGATATAGTAGAAATATAACACTGCATTAGTTTAAGACATACAACATGATGATTTGGTATATATATGTATTGTGAAATGATTATCACAATAAGTTTAGTTAATGTACATTTTCTTGTGATAAGAACTTTTAAAAAGATGACAGGGAAACCGTGGCACCTTTTTATGTACCTATTGGTGATTTGGGTGTCTTTGGAAAATTTCTATTCCATTTCTCTGTACCTTTTTAAGAACTTTTTTAAAGTTGCTAAGCTTAGCGGCTTTCAAGTATATAATGCAGTATTGTTGACGGTGGTCACCGTTTCCGTACATTACATCCCCAGAACTTATTTATCTTATAACTGGAAGTTTGTACCTTTTGATCATCTTCACCCACTTTGCCCACCACCCTCCCTAGCAACCACCAGTCTGATTTCTTTTTCAGAAAGAATTTGGCTTTTTTAGATTCCACATGCAAGTGAGATCATGCAGTATTTGTTTTTGTCTGATTTATTTCACTTAATGTCCTCAGGATCCATCCATGTTGTCACAAATGGCAAGATTTCCTTCGTTTTTATGGCTGAATATTTCTCTCTGTGTGTATATACATTCCACATTTTCTACTAATTTGAAGAGATATAGGTACCCAGTATTTATAACAGCATTATCAGCAATAGCCAGATTATGGAAAAAGCCCAAATGTTCATCAACTGATGAATGGATAAAGAGGTGATATATACACACACGCGTGCACACACACAATGGAATATTACTCAGCCATAAAAAAAAGAATGAAATCTTGCCATTTGCAGCAACATGAATGGAGCTAGAGAGTATTTTGCTGAGTGAAATAAGGCGGTCAGAGAAAGACAAATACCATATGATTTTGCTCGTATGTGGAGTTTTTTTTAAAAGACTTTATTTATTTGTCAGTGAGCGTGCAAGCAGAGGGAGTGGCAGGCAGAGAAGTAGGCTCCCCAGCTGAGTAAGGAGCCTGATGCGGGACTCGATCCCAGGATCCTGGGATCATGACCTGAGCCAAAGGCAGACACTTAACCGACTGAGGAGCCACCCAGGCGTCCCTCGTATGTGGAATTTAAAAAACAAAACAAATGATCATGGGGGGAAAAAGGAGAGGGAAACCAAGAAACAGACTCTTAACTGTAGAGAACAAAGTGATGGTTACCAGATGGGAAGTGGGTAGGGGGATAGGTGAAATAGGTGATGGGGATTAAGGAATGCACTCTGATGAGCACTGGGTAATATGTGGAAGTGTGGAATCACTATATTGTACACCTGAAACTAATATTACTCTGTATTATTACTAATTGGAATTTAAATAAAAACTGAAAAAAAATACATAGCACCTTTTCTTTATCCATTCATATATTGATGGACGGTTAGTTTGCTTTCATGTCCTGGCTATTGTAAATAATGCTGCAGCGAACGTGCTGGTGCCCATATCTTTCTGAGATAATAATTTCATTTTCTTCTGATAAGTACCCAGAAGTAGAATTGCTGGATCATATGGTAGTTCTCTTTTTAACTTTTTAAGTAATTTCCATACTGTTTTTCCATAGTGGTTGCACCAGTTAACATTCCCACCATCAGTGCACAAGGGTTCTCTTTTCTCCACATCTTCGCCATCTTCTTATATCTTGTTTTTTTGATTACAGCCGTAGTAACTGGTGTGAGATGATATCCAATTGTGGTTTTGATGATTAGTGATGTTGAGCACCTCTTCATGTACCTTTGGTCATTTGTATGTCTTTGGAAAAATGTCTATTCAGTTTCTTTGCCCATTTTTTAATCAGACTTTGTAGAAATTTTTTAAAGTTCAGCCGCCTGCCTCAGCCCAACATGGCGATGCAAAACAAGGCGGCGCCGCCACAGATCCCGGACACCCGGTGGGAGCTGGCAGAGCTCATGAAGCGGAAGCAGGAGCTGGTGCAAACACTGGCAAACTTGGAGAGACAGATGTATGCTTTTGAAGAAAGCTACCTGGAAGACACTCAGATGTATGGCAATATTATTCGTGGCTGGGATTGGTGTCTGACCAACCAGAAAAACTCCAATAGCAAAAACGATCAAAGGAACCGGAAATTTAAGGAAGCTGAGCAGCTAGCTCTTCAGTAAATCCTCAGTTACTTCAAAAGCTGCAGTAAGTGCATTGGCAGGAGTTCAGGATCAGCTCATTGAAAAGAGGGAGCCAGGAAGTGGGACGGAAAGTGATACTTCTCCAGACTTCCACAATCAGGAGAATGAGCCCGGCCAGGAGGACCCTGAGGACCTGGACGGATCTGTGCAGGGAGTGAAGCCTCAGAAGGCTGCTGCTTCTACTTCCTCAGGGGGTCATCACGGCAGCCGTAAAAAATGAAAGAATAAAAACCGACACGGGATTGATCTGAAGTTAAACAAAAAACCACGAGCTGACTATTAGAAGACTCATTAGTGCAGAAGCTTCCAGGCTGTAGAGCCCTGCTTCCCTCCTCCAACCTCACAAAGATACATATCCCTCACCTGAGTGCGCGGCCATCCACCTCTGCTTTCCCAGACCCAGTGCCTGTGCCTGTGAATAGTCTGTTCTGAAATGTGGTGACAAGTCATTTCTGTAAGACCACATTGGATCATTTACTGTGTGTCATTTTTAGTAACAGAACTGCAAGAAGACCAAGACATGGTTATAATTCCAGCAAGCATTTCTCCCTTCTTGGAATGAATGTGTCCCCCCAAACTGGCTAGTACCAGCTTCATCTGTGATACCCATTGAGAAATGTTCTCTGGTTTTGTTTTATGCTGAAGGTAGAACATAGGTCACGTTTCAGAGGGAGGCTGTAAATATTGGGCATTTTCTTATTTTGTGTTTTATTATTTTTCTATTGTTTTTACCATCTTCTTTTCTTTGGGGACTTTTTGTAATGCCATTGTACAGCTCATACCTTCCTGCCGACATATCTGATCATCTGCTTCATGCAGTTGCCAGTATTCTTCACTGAAAATAATCTGGTTTACCATAAAGAAAATGGGGAACTTGGCTCTGTGTTTTTGCAGGGGGAAGGTAAAGAGGGTTTATTTAATAATTACCTATCTTAAATCTTTCTGCGTTGGAGGCAGTTTCATGTTCAAGGAACAGGAAAAGCTGAAAAACCTAAGTTTAAATCAATCCTTTTAAAATAGATATTTTTATTCTTTTATATAAATAAAATTTCGCAGGTGTTGACTTCTCATGCTTTACTTTTAAACCTGAGATTGTTTTTTCACTTATTTTATTTATTCGTAGTATCATGCCTTATGGAAATTTCTTCCTTTTTCCATTTTTCTTTCTTTGCTGGTATCTGCCTGATTAAACATTGCTCTGAAAATCATTAAGGCATATGGAAAGGCTCAACATTGCACCCAAAGCTGGTAACGTTATGGAGTTCTGGAGCAGAGGGGGAGATAGGATCTGCGAGAGCTAGCGGTGCCCGGCAGACCCCCTTCCTCACAGGGCCAGCCAGGCTGGGGAACTTGCCGATTTGTTGAACTGTTACCTACCTCTAGAGTGGTGCTCGACCTCGGCTGCTCATGGGAGTCACCTGGGAAGCTTAAGGACCTACTGATACCTGGGTCCCACCCCCAGAGACTCTGGCTGGGGGCGGTCTAGTGACTGGGATTTCCGTCCCAAGAGTCCCTGGGATTCTGATAAGAAGCCAGGTTGAGAACCACTGCATTGAGGAGTGTTTGATTGAAATCCTATGTTGCGAATCAGTCTAGGGGTTAAGATTTGGGGCCCCATCTTTCCTTTGATGCTGTCTAGTCATAGTCCTTGATTTAGGCCCATATCTTTGTTAGAACAAATATATTCCATTGTGATAATATTGGTAGAGCTAAATACGGATGGCGTCTGTTAGAAAAACGAGTCTACCTTGTGAGATGTGCAAAAGCTTTCACTCTTGCTCTCAAATAAACTTTTTTTTTAAATTTTTTAAAGTTCTTGGTGTTAACTAAAATCATCTCAAATACAAGATTTTTGGGGAACCTCCATTACATTATATTTTTAGGGATAAACTTTAAAATTTTATCTTACCTGGGAAATGAATAAACCTCATTGTGGCATATTGGTAGTTCTGAAGACTTGTTTGTATGAAAGAATAGCATATAATTAGAAAAAGTAGAAAGTCTTGATATTAATCTGTTTTCCAAAATAATCATAGGTAGGTTATTTTTATTCTTAACATTGATTAGAATAATACTTTGAAGATATTAAAATTTTATAGCCTAGCCAATTCACATGTGCATTTGTTGCTTCACTGGAATGTCACTTTTCATTATTCTGCTGTCTGCTTTAATCAACTGTTATCTGACAGGTCTTGGAGTTGTTAATTCACAGAGATGGGGAATTTCAAGAACTGATGAAATTGGCACTGAATCAGGGAAAAATCCATCATGAAATGCAAGTTTTAGAAAAGGAAGTGGAGAAGAGAGACAGTGATATTCAGCAACTACAAAAACAGCTAAAGGAAGCAGAACAAATACTGGTAAGTTGATAGAAGAAAAGGTAAAAAAGGATATTAATCTATTTCTGAAAAAGAAATCTGAAAGTATTTTGAAGTGGCAGAAAACTTGACTTTCCAAGTCTAAAAGTGACAACTTGTCAGTTTGGTTAAATGAAAGGCCATTGTCATTCCCTATTTTACTTAATGTTTTCAGATAGTCTGCATTATTTTTGAACCATATTTTCATTATTTAAAGATTTCACAGGACTGAATTAATAGAACTGGGAAGTTCTACTTTTATCCTGTCCTGTTAGAAGTTTTCAGTTACTAGTAGTCTAAATCTTTACCTCAGCTTTTAAAAATATTTTGAAATCAGTAGAAATAAGTATCAATTTTAAAAATTGATTAAAATTCACATTAACTTAGTCTTCCATTCTAAACTAGGTGGGATTTGGGCATATGTCAGGGACTCTAGTTTTTTGTTTTTTGTTTTTTGTTTTTCTTGTTCTTGGCTACTGTTTAAAAAAGCAGTTTCTTTGCTCTTATTTGCCCAGTTATTTCACTAAATGCTAACTAATGTAATTGTTATATGGTGGTATTACAGAAACAGCTGAGTTTGATTCTCATATGGACCAGACATTGCTGGAAACTTTATCCCTGTTGAATCTTCAAAAGGTGTCAAAATGGGCTCCAATAAATAGAAACCTGAGTGGTTCAGGGTAAATTAATCATTCCTGCTGAAGAAATGACCCCAAGTAAATGCTTTTTAAAAAAATGTGTAAAGAAATCTATTTTCCATTAGGAAAGTAATACTTACCAAAAGATATTCAGAAAATACAGAAAAGTAGAAAGAAGAGGAAGAGATTGTGTTAGTACCTCTGTTCAGATTGCCCTTATTCATAGTTTCGTGCATTTCATTTCAGTCTTAGATGTATTTTTTTTTTTTAATTTTCCAGTAGGCTTATAATTGATTTTTAAATTGAAGTCTAGTTGACACATAATGTTACGTTAGTTTCAGGTGTACAATAAGCGATTTTTTTTCCCAGACGTTTTCGTTTTTTATCCCGTAATTAGTAGGATTAGTTACTAACTGGCTTTCTATTACTATTTATTAAAATTTAAGCATTTTTCGTATATTGTATCCTCTTTGTTTAGCTTTCCAACTTTGTTATAAATAATGCTTTGATGAATATCATTGCAGAAAGGTCTTTTTTTTCTTCTGCATTTCAGATTATATTCTTTAGATTTGATTTCCAAAAATGTAATTATTGAGTTAAAGACAACACAAGGACCGTAAAAAAACTGAATTTTATGATTTAGGTAATAGCAACTAACATTTATTGAGCACTTGTGCATCAGGCCTTGTGCTTGTATGCAGCTTACATGTATTATCTCAGTCTTCATAACAGTTATGCTAGGTTAGTACCATTGTTGCATTTTACAGATGAAGAAACCGAGATTTTAAATTAGTAACTACCTTGCCCAGGAATAGTGAAAAGTAGAGAGATGGAACTTAAACCTAACTCTCTCTGACTCCATACTCTTAACCTCTGTGTTATAGTTGAGGATGCATATACTAGCTTAACTTCATTTTACCCTTTCATGTACCTTTCAGGGGGTTTTGGGGGGTTGTGGGTGTTTTCATTATAGCAGTTATTAAGTGTGGAGGTAGTAGTAATGTATAAATGAGTAAGACTATCAATCCAGGAATGTGTCTTGTAAACTAGAAAAAGAATATTTTGGTATTTTATCCTTGAACTAAATGCAAGAATATGATGCTTTGGGAATGGTATGTGGTGTGGATCTCTTACACGTGTCTGATAGAAGGCATAAAGAAAAAAATGTTAGGGGCTCCTGGGTGGCTCAGTCAGTTAAGTGTCTGCCTTCGGCTCAGGTCATGATCCCAGGGTCCTGGGATTGAGTCCTGCATCAGGCTCCCTGCTCAGCAGGGAGTCTGCTTCTCCCTCTGCCCCTCCCTCCACTCATGGGCTCTCTCTCTCTCTCTCAAAAAATCTTTAAAAAAAAGTAAACAATCCAATTTATACTTTGTTTCTAACAATTTGTAAATGAAGACTGATTCATGAATATATATTATTACTTTCCTTAACCAACTGAAATAAATGATTCCCAAATGGTGTTTCAGAACATTACAAACAAATTATGGGGATTTCCAGCTTTTGCATATTGTTGCTATAGGATGAATGATTTTGTGAATTAAGCCAAAAATTCTGCTTGATATAGTTAAGAATAAACCATATTTCTTTTTTTAATACTCAAATTAGGCAACAGCTGTTTACCAAGCAAAAGAAAAACTCAAATCAATAGAAAAAGCAAGAAAAGGTAAGTACTGTGGGAATACTGAATGACTTTCTGAAAAATCCCAAGTTTTGGTTTCAAGAAATGGATGAGAGTATTATTGGTAATCATTTGCTGCTATTGAAGTGATTCCATTAAATTTTTATTGTAAAGTGTCTGCTAGGTGCTCACACTGTGCTGTGTATTATTGGGGAGGTATCACACCTTTTTCAGGTTCTAAGAAGCAATAATATAAGGCAAGTTATGGCTGTGTGTCCGAATGTGCAGTAAAGACAATGAGTTTATAAAGTTGTTGGGAGAAGGGAAGAGAACTGCGAGCTGGAAGCAAGTGGGATTTGAGTTGGATCTTAAAAGACAGGACAGAGAGTGAAAGAATGTGCAGTGGGCAACTGGAGTGGGACTAGAGTGCCCTGAAGTCTGAACTAGATGTGGCTTTTAATGGTGCAGATGCCCAGCATGCCTTCTTTTCCTGTCTTCCTTCTCTCTTTAAAAGACTTCCATTTTGGATTTTTTAGTTGAGGTACTAAAAGTTAGAATTAAAACTTTGGTAACTTGCTTTTAATGGTTTTAGATGATTTACCTTTAATCACCTCAAAGTTATCTTTCTTCTTTTCCTGTTTCAGATAACTACTGTTAATGTTTGAGGTGTGTCCATTTTTTTAGATGTTTAATACAAATACATATATGTACATATATTCTAAAACAAAAACCAGGTCATGCTTACACATATTATTTGACAGCTTACTTTTTTTTAATCTAATGAATATATTGTAGACATGTTTCTACTTAGATCTACTTATAATCATAGGGTCACATCAAGCCAACAATTGAGTGGTATAGTGTGAACTGCTGCTCTAACGTAATAGTTTAGATGTCATTGGAAGACAGAACACTCTTTCCTCTATTTTATTTGTATTCATTGTTGCTTTGAGAACAGTAAGAATATTTAATGGTAGTTAATAATTGAGATTAGTGAACTTAGTCATGCTAATGTCCCAAATTTGACACTTTGGTAGCTGTTTTTTCTAGATGTCTTGTTCTTTAGTTGGGAAATCCAAATGATTTAAGTTTAACAATATACATATTATTAGGTATTAGGGAAGGTAGGCAACTCAGATTATCCTATTTTCAGGTAATTTAAAATAAAATATGTGTGACTATGAGGCATGCATTTATACGCTAGACTAACATGTTATCTCTCCTCTTGACTCTCTCAGGTGCCATCTCCTCTGAAGAAATAATTAAGTATGCACACAGGATTAGTGCAAGTAATGCTGTATGTGCCCCACTGACCTGGGTTCCAGGTAAAAATACTTCTCTTTTTATTAGACATATATGGTTTTGAAAATTCTTAGGCGACTGTACTTAAAAATAGGAAAATGATTTAAATATAGAATGTATCCTTAGGAACATCTGCTATATATTTTCATATCTTTTATAAGTAATAATATGGGCCATGGGTCTTATTAGTTTGGTTTTCTACAAAGCTTTTGCCACAGGGACTGTGTTTTTGTCCTTTTTTTTTTTTTTAAAGCTATTATTTATTAGAGTGAGAGAGAGAGCACAAGTGGAGAGGAGAGGGAGAAGCCATGCGGGGCTCGATCCCAGGACCCTGAGATCATGACCTGAGCAGAAGGCAGCTGCTTAACCAGCTGAGCCACCCAGGCATCCCTGTTTCTGTCCTTTTTAAAGAAAAATCATAAATTAATGTTTAAAAGTACAAGATAATATGTGATGATTCTAAAGCTATAAGCCTGTAACACCCAGGCTGGCCAGAAGCCCACTTTTTAGGACCATTGGGGTTTTGTCAAGGGTTCTGGCCTTGGAATCAAGACAATCCCAACTCTTCAGTGACAAACGTGAAGCACTGAGCACCCAACAGCAAATACATGGGACTGGATATAGCTGGAGTAATTAGAAACAGTAAAAAAGAGTAACAAACTGCGATACATATGGACAGTACATAAAACATTTATAAGACAGGGACCTAAGGTTGAGCAGCAGTCTTCTGGGGGGAGTGGGAGATAGTATCTCAACATCAGTAATTCATGATGGTGGTATTTTACTATATTAAAAACACTAAGGTTAACGTACAGTTTTTTGGGGGTAAGTGATCTGGAGTGAGTAAGAAATATTACCAAAAAGTTGGTCCAAATCTGCCAAGTTTTCATCATCCCAAAACTAAATGGTATGCTTTCATGATTAGAAATGAACATTGGCTCCTGATATTCCTCCACTGGAAAGATCTAGGAATTAGTCTTTAAATGACAAGATCAAAGAGGTTGGTTAGGAAAAGTTTTAATTTAGACAGTCCTTCAGATAAGCATTCGAATCCTTTCTGTCTTGTAAAAAAAAAAAAAGTGTCATGATCTATTTATTCTCTCAGTATGTATCGTTATTTTCTTACTAGGAAATGCAGGTAAGTTAGAAGAATGAAGATCATTATAATTTTCTTAATTTGTCATCTGGAATTGCTAAAATGGCAGACTTTTCTCTCTTTTTTTTAAAGATTTTATTTATTTGACAGAGAGAGAGAGCGGCAACACAAGCAGGGGGAGTGGGAGAGGGAGAAGCAGGCTTCCCACTGAGCAGGGAGCCCAATGTGTAGCTCGATCCCAGGATCCTGGGATCATGACCTGAGCCGAAGGCAGATGCTTAACAACTGAGCCACCCAGGCGCCCCTCTTTTTTTTTTTTTTTTGTATAGATAATAGTATATTACTGTACAGATTCAAAGATGAAACGCATGTATTTTTAAGTTTAATATTTTGTGCTCTTAGTAACAATTGATAAGATGACCTTCCTGTTCCAAAATTGAAAATGGGTGTCTTGAGTTTTTCAAAGTGAATCAAGGAAAATCAGTACTTCAGAGACGTATTAATGCTTATTTTGCATGTGATTGAGTTAAAAGCAGTCTTTTTTTTAGGGGACCCACGGAGACCATACCCAACTGATTTAGAGATGAGAAGTGGATTACTGGGTCAAATGAACAATCCTTCCACTAATGGTGTTAACGGTCATTTACCAGGGGATGCACTTGCAGCAGGCAGATTGCCAGGTAATGTTAATCAGAATGGTGCCCTCAAACAGACCAAGGTGTTGCAGACATGATGATGGAATATCTGGCTGTTGAACAAGTTTGGGTTCTAGACCCAGCTTGTTTTAATAGCTGGGTTTTCTGCCAATTATCCTGCTCTCTAGTTTAAAAACTGTTATAGCTGGAGTTCATGAAATTAGAATAAATTGACTTTTCTCTCATTTGTTAATAGGTTATTTTCCTTGGGCATTAGGCCTCTCTTTTATTAAAATCTAAACAGCTTTTTAAATAAAATTGTGAAATATACGGTATAAACAGAATAAGAAATATTCTGAATAAGAAAGAATACCTCCTGAAAAACTCCCAAATTGAATAACAAAATGAGTAACAGCTTTTTATGGGCTTTTCAATAACTAAATAAAATAGCACTTTTGTGAGACTTGGTTAATTCTGAATGAACTTCAGCCTTCCTTAAGTTTTACATATAGTTTTGTGTTATTCTTAGATTTATTTTATGTTCCCCATCTTTTTATCTTTTGTAGGTGACTTGTTTTGATTTGGTAGAACATTTAAAAAGTATTTAGAAGGTTATAAAAAACAAAAAACTGGTTTTTTTGAGCAATCACTTTTAATATTTCACCTATTTCATTTTTTCTCTTATTTTTTACAGTGTTAAAAACATGCTCTAGATAATGCTTTTCTGCTTAACATTTTATTGTAAAGATGTTCCTGTGTTAAGAATGCTTTGTAAACATCATTTTAACGAAAGTACAAACTTCAGAACTTACTGTGCCTTAGTTTCCCTTGATATCTTTGCATTTTTCTCATTTTGCTTATTCCATATTACATGCCAGTCACAGTCCAGTCAGGAGGCAATATGAACAAGGAAAATTTTTAAAATTATTAATTAGTAACAAGATACTAAATACTAAAGGGTAAAGAGAACTGTTTTTAAAAAATACAGTAATAAGAGAAGTGGGGAGCAGCTACTACTTCTAGGACCAGGCAGAGTACCCAAGGAAGGGACCCACTGAGAAGAGGCTTCTCCCACCCCCATCCTCAGTTCATACCGTGGCACCCTCAAGAGGGTGTAGCTGTGGCTCACGGGATGGCAGAGAAGTTAGATGAGGTTAATCACAGGCTGGAGCCGGCAAGCAGGAAATTATCCACTAGGGTTCCAGGGACCCTTGCTGGGAAGCCACCCTTAGGGTAATGGTGAGACTTAGACGCCACTGAAACTTGCTAGGGGCTGAGCTCACCGCTTGATGTCCCCCTGCCAGCTAGGCACCACGGGAGAGAGAAGGGAAACATCGGATCCCTCAGTCCTGTTCCCCTTGCAGAGTCCCTCCAGTGCCCTCTACTGACAAAGATTAACATTGTGGCTGCTGGCAAAGGAGAAACGTTTTCAAGTCCAGGGAGAAGAGTGGTTTTAAAGCTTAAGAGGCAGTTTAAACTTGTAATACATAGTGTAGTAGATGTTAGCTATTTAAAATATATAGAGAGAATAATATACATGACCTACTATATATCTGCATATCGTTTACATAGGTATATATAAGAAACATTTGATTTGTCATTGTCAGTGTCTTGCAAAAGAAAAATTAGGTCAACTGACTATATAAAGTTACTTAGATGGAAGCATGATTTAAAAAAAAAATGAAACACAGGTTCTAGTTATTAAAACATCATGCTTTTCATTGATAACTTTGATCTTTGTTAATTTAGCCAAATGCACATTTTGATTCCTGGCCTTGAAAAAAATATTACTTCAGATTTTAGGCATTAAGGGAAGAATAATTAAGAAGTAAATTAATTACTGGTAGAAGTATTGTTACATGTGCTTCTTTCTTTTCTCCAGATGTCCTTGCTCCACAATATCCATGGCAGTCAAATGACATGTCAATGAATATGTTACCACCAAATCACAGTAATGACTTTTTGTTGGAACCTCCGGGGCATAATAAAGAAAATGAAGATGATGTAGAAGTTATGTCAACAGACTCGTCTAGCAGCAGTAGTGACTCTGATTAAAAACATAAAGACAAAATTCATACAGAATTGAATACTATGGGGTGGGCACTTGGGTGGCTCGGTTGAGTGTTGGACTCTTGATTTTGGCTCAGGTCACGATTTCAGGGTTGTGAGATCAAGCCCCGCATCAGGCTCCATGCTGGGTGTGGAGTCTGCTTAACATTCTCTCTCTCCCTCTGCCCCTTCCCCACCTCTCTTCCTCTCTAAAAAACAAAACAGAATAGAATACTATGGAATTCTGTTTCTTAAACAATTACAAGCCTGTAAAAAATAGCCAGATAATACTGGCTATAGTGGAATTGTGCAACCCATCAAAAATCACTGGATTTTTTTTTTTTTTTAAGATTTTATTTATTTGACACAGAGAGAGACAGCGAGAGAGGGAACACAAGCAGGGGGAGTGGGAGAGGGAGAAGCAGGCTTCCCGCCGAGCAGGGAGCTCGATGCGGGACTCAATCCCAGGACCCTAGGATCATGACCTGAGCCGAAGGCAGACGCTTAACAACTGAGCCACCCAGGCGCCCCCTGGACTTTCTTTTTAAAGCCAAAAATCATGGTTTCAATTCTAAACCACTAAGTGAATATTTAAAGAATAATGAGAATTTACTGTTGGGAAAAAAAAAATTACTCAGTGCCGCTCTACCTGTTATATTCTAGTTATGTTGAACTTGTTCATAGTAGTTCTGGAAACAAAAGTTGAGGGAAATGACCCATGTACATACCACTAATCAGCCCCTGGAATTATTTAGAAAAATGGCAGTGGATCACTGAATGTGTATCATATCTTGAAATAACAAAGCCATCATTTGAAAGTGAAGGCTGGTAGCTTCTGTTAAGTAACGGGGGAGATTGTTTCAATTTGTACTATCTGTAAGTATTGTAATTTGTGTAAATAAACTCACTGTTGTTTGTACTCTGTATGCTTTTTTTTATTGAAATATGCCTTCAGTGTAGGTGAGAAATTATTTTTGTAAATCCACTTGCATTTTATATATAAGTAAAATTCTGGAGTGTGAATGAACATGATGTACTGCATACAGCTAAACTAGTAATTACAACTAGTAGGTTTCACAAAGGCCCATACTGACATTCTTAGAAGAAATAAAATGAAATTGCTTTTTGTGTTTTTTTTTTTCCATTAGTCTTCCCACTAGTTTTTTGTTTTTTTAAATAACTGAAAAAGCTTACCATAATAATGTCTGATCTTAAGAATAATAGATTGGATTGTCTGAAAGGTTTTAGAATGGAAAGCTGTCTCTTGCCTTCACCTTCCCTCTTCCTGCATTTTCCAGAAGGAATCACTTTTAACCACTTTTAACTTAATGGTTAACCTCCATGTTTAAGTAATACGCTTATACAACTACAATTTGATTTGTCTTTGTGTACTTTCTACATTTTTTTTTAGATTGCAAAAATAATACAACATTCATAGTGGAGCATTTAGCAAATAAGTAAATTACAAAGGAGAAAATAAAACTAGCCTTCTACCAAGAGATCGTATTAATATATTCGGATAGGTTCTTGGTCTTTTTTAAAGATCCACATGTATATTTTTTAAAAATAATGTGTATTTCCTGAGATGCTTATCTAGTTTTTAGTAATCTACATCCTTGCAATGAACTGAGAATTCAATTTTTCCAACTTTTTTTCCTTTTTAGTATTTAAATAAAATGACCTCTGTAGAAAAACATTTGTCTTCCATTTTCAGCAGTTTTCCTGGGAACAAAATTACGTTTTTAGATTGGTATCTTGAATAATACAAGGAATGAAATGAGTAGCCTAGTTTGGAATTCTAACAGTATAAATTATCTGACAGTTCAGTTTATTTTGTATTAATGTGAATTCAATGCATGCCAATATGCATAAATTGGTCATAACAGTGTCTATTATGTGGCATAGTAAAATATTGGTTGCCTAATTAAAAATATATATATACATGATATACAGCCAAGGAAAAGGAGGTGGAAAGTAGAGAGCTAAAGCAAATAAGGCAGTCTTGGTACTTAACGGAATCTGAGTGTAGGGTATATGGAAGTTCATTGTACTGTTTTCTGCTTTAGTATGTTTTTTTTTCATGTTAACATTCTACTGTTTTCTGTGTCAGAAGTTGACTACACCGTTTTAAATGCCAAGGAATGGAAAAGTTTGGACTATGTTCTACAAGATGGCTTTGATGCAGCTGAAGGTCTGACTCAAGGATGGCAGGCACAGAAAGTGTGTGGGAACCCACATTAGCAAACATTTGTGGGTTCTGTTACGGTTCCTTAGGCCGTGATATTTAGGCCACCTGTTTAGTTTGTTAGGTATACTATAACTAAATAACAGATGCCTGGCTTAAACAGGAATTTATTTTCACACAGTTGTGGAGGTTAGAAGTCCCAAGATCAAAGTGTTGGGGGGGTTGGCAAATCTCTTGGCTTGCCTTCTCCCTGTGTCCTCACATGACATTTTCTCCCCCGCCCCGGTGTCTCTGGGAGTCCAAATTTACTCTTCTCATAAGGGCAGTAGACAGACTGGATTAGGGCTCACCCTAAGGCCTCATTTTAACTTAGTCGTCCCTTTAAAGGCTTTATCTCCAAATATAGTCACATTCTGAGGTATCATGGTTTAGGGTTTGCACACTGGAATTTGGGGTTCTGATACCAATCCCAGTATGTGTGTGGGGGGAGGGGGTGGTTCCCCCCCAACAACAAGCAATTTTTTGGGCAACGGCAAGGTGTCCTACAATTCAATTCTGACACTACCTGGCTATAGAATCCGGTTCCTCCCTCCATGTGCCAAGCCAATCATGCAAGCCCAGGTTGTCATTACATGTATTTCTGACAGGCTATAAATCAGAGATTCCCCAGGCCCCTTCCCTAGGTTTGATTAATGTGCTAGAATGGCTCACAGAACTCAGGAAATCCATTTACTCACTAGATTACTGATTTGTTATAAAAGGATACAACTCAGGAACATCCGGATGGAAGAGATGCACTGGGCAAGCATAGGGAAAGGGCTGAGTTTCCATGCCCTCCCCAGGCATGCCACTCCCCAAATCATGTGATCACCAACCCAGAACTCTGAACTGTGCCCTTTTGGGTTTTTATGGAGGCTTTATTACCGGGCTAGATTGATTAAATTGTTGGCCTTTGGTGATTAATTCAGCCTGTGGGCCCCTCCCCTGTCCAGAGGAGGGTTGCAAGTTCCAACCCTCTAATCACGGTAATCACTTAGTTGGCTCCATTGGCAACCAGCCTCCATTTTGGGCATGGTCCCAAATCCACATTAACATAACAAAAGACACTTTTTATCACTCTCCATACTTAGGAAATTACAAGGGTTTGGGAAGCTGTAAGCCAGGAACTGTGGACAAAAACCAAATATATATACGAGAAATTCAGATGACCAAAATCACAATATTGTATGGGGACACAATTTGGTCCATTACATCACCCAAGGGCCTGTATAAACATTATTAACCAAATGTTTAATGAATGTTTATCCTAGTAAGATATTTGCTTTTTTAATTTTAGATTCAATTTGGCATATATGAGGTCCTTTCTAAGGTCCCTTGTATAACCAATATATACACTTAAGACCATTTTACTGTATTTAGTTAATATTTTTAATTAACAATTTTGTATCATCATTTTAACAAATAGTTTTTTCAGCAGTTTTTATGAGACCAAATCTTTGGCCAGGATATATCTCCCTAATTACAATGTTTGTATGGGAAAATGATTTTCTTTGTAACAACAGATTTTATGGCCATTTAAATGAAATCTGTTGCCACAAAATGGGTACTTATATTCCTTAAATGAGGCATACTGTCTTTTAAATCTTTTGCTGAAACTTCCATTTTAAATGTCTTAGCTACTTTACCTTCTGATATATAAAGTCAAAGAATATTAGCATTAGTGATCATATGGAATAGTTTTCAACCATGTTCCTCTCCCATTGACTGGTGCTTCTGGCTGTGTTGAAAAAGCCTCCTAGACTGACATGGTGTCAGTGTGAAGGAATATTTGCTATTCGCAATGTAGTCGAGAGCCCCCATGGCTAACTCTCCCTCCCCTGCATCTTATCCTTTGCTTTCCTTCCTCATGTGTTTGAGCATCTTCCAAGTGCTGAGGGTACAGCAATGAATAAGACAGTGAGAGCCTGCCTTCCTGCACTTGACGAAGCTGAGGGGCAAGGGAGGCGACAGTTAATACACTCATAAACAAGTCAGTAAGATAAATCCAAGTAGTGGCAAGTACAATGAAACATAAGGACACAGTTCAAAATTCAACACTTATTGCAACACCCTGACTTAAAGGAAGGTAAAAGAACCTCCCAAGACTTGTAGCACAGACCAGAATGGTCTTCAAAAATCAATAAATACATATATGGGTGTTAATTTAAAGATACTATGATCAATTAAAGATATTATGACCAAAAATGTTATATTCAAACACTTGGGTCTCATCAAAGTTTGCCTAAATTTTTATTATTTACTTATACTAATTTTTTTTAAGACTGATTTATTTGAAAGAGCAAGGGGGCAGGGCAGAAGGAGAGGGACAGAGAGTCTCAAGCGCGCTCCATGCCGAGCACAGAGCCTGACATACAGAGCTCTACATGGGGCTCAATCTCACGAGCCTGAGATCACGGCCTGAGTGGAAACCAAGAGTCGGATGCTGAACCAACCGTGCCACCCAGGCACCCCAAAAGTTAGCATTAATTTTTAAACAAAAACAAGAAATGTCATGCTTTTTGATTGCTGTTTTTCCCACACTGAAAATTTAACTCTTTGATCCTGTTGTAAGTCTGAGACTCAACGTACATTTTACCTTTATTAAAATGAGCATGCCCCATGTTGGGGCAGAAAATTTTTCCCTTCTAGCTTTTTTGGCTGATCTAATAACTAAATTGACATAGATTAATTGGAGAAAAACATTTAATTTTGTATATATGGAGCCCATAAAAAATGAAAATCAAAGAAGTGCCCAATGCAGGCATCTTTTATACCTTTTAGACAAAGAAACAATAAGTTTGTGCAGAACTGACAAGACAAAGGGGTTTGGGCTTGGGGTAATAAATTAGTGAAGAAGTACCAATATTTGTTTATACAGTCTTCTCGGTGCTAAATTCTCTATCTCTGGTGATAAGCATGTCTCTCTAACTCCTGGTATATAAGAAAGGTACCTGTCACATGGGAGATTTATTTCCTGCTTTCAGGCAGACAAAGGAGGGTCAGAATGTCCCTGCACTGGCTGTTTCTTAAGTAACTTTAATTAAAATTAATCAATATGCCAAAATGGCATATTTAA